TCTCGGGTCCGCGCTGCGTGTAGGTGCTTCCTGGAGAGCGGGAGGAAAAGTGACTGAGTTCCTTGTTCTGCCGCGTCCTGCCCGGCTCTCCTCTGTATCGCTCGAGGAGGAGGAGCCCCAACAGCCTGAGCTGGCCCCAGGGTCTGCGCCCCACCTTTGCGGGGGCGGGTGCTTGTTAGTGCTCTGATACAGTTTTGGGGAGGCTGCCGGTGGGAATAAGGGGGTGAGTGAAGCTGGAGGACGGTGTCGAACAGCCTGCACGTGTCACCTTCAAGCTGGTGGTCCAGCTGGGCAAAAAGCAACCAGCAGGTATCAAGCTGCCCTTGAATTCATGGACCTAAGCAGGACCTGCTGGCGAAGGGCCACCTCATTAGGGCTCATGATGTCTCGAAGGTCTGAGGTCAATCTTTACTGACATTGTCCTTAAGGTGGTGTTGCCAGAGGTGCAAGAGCTCCCATTCCCTTCAGCCAGGCCACTGGTAAGGATCTCATGGAATGTGGCACATGAGAGGGGAGAGAAGTAGGGGACTGGGTGGTATCAGAGGTGATTCAGCAGGAGCACACTCTTTTCAGTCATTGGGCGAACTAACCTGGCATGACATGTAGGGAAAAAATTCTCGAAGGGTGTTTTGAAAGATCAGTGCATCAGCTTATCGTTAGCATGCTTATCGTTCTCATTGACCTGACAGTCATGGGCATTCCACAGGATCCCCAGGAGCATTGCAAGGTCCTGGTTTCTGTTGTCCTTCCTGTGTCATGCACAAGTGACCCCGGCTACAGCCCCAGCAAAATCATCTGGGTGCTTGTGAGCAGGAAACCGTGCCAGTGTGAGCAGGTAAAAGCCACTTGGTTGACGAGTTTGTAGTTGTCATCATTCCCTGTCATAAACTGTCACATGGAACTCTGGATTGGCTTTCCTTGCTCCTGGAGGCTGGTGAAACTCAGCTTCACTGGTATTTGGCCTCTGACTTTGTCGCAGTGTCAAATGACTGATGTTTAGGCCTAACTTCTGTTTAACACTGTGGCACAAGGTGGCCATCAAGGTCACCTCCAAAAAGAAGGCACTGGAAGAAAATCTTGGGAAATTCCTGCCCCACTGGATGCAGGCAGGGTGAGAAGGTGGCATTATCATTATTGGGGGCAGCAGGAGGAGCCTCTGACCATCATGAAGTTCTGCAGGGCAAGGGGGGCATCTGAGGGTCCCCAGGGCATCAGGGGCTAAGGGGGAAATGGGAACAAACTTTGGGGAACTTCATGGGCAGCAGTGCTACTGGATGGCTCAATGGGAATTTGGGGCACTGTGAGGCAATGGGCAGGGACTCTGAGGGCCACGGAGCTTGTGGGAGATTCAGGAGGATGGAGGTGTGGTGGGCACTTTCTGGGGGACTGACAAGGGTATGGGGAGCAGTGGTGGGTAGAGGGGATGGGGGTGCAAGAGGGGAGCCAGCGGGGGGCAGGGCTAGCCCATGCCAAGCCCACACGTCCACGACTCATCCCGATGAACCAAGGCATGGAGACAGCTTTTATCTCCTCGTGGAGCCGGTCCCGCTAAGGGAGCATCAGAGCAGGTGATGGGAATCATGTTCCCCAGCCTAGGCAGTGAAGGATTTCCTGGAAGCCTCTCTTCAGCTCCACATCTCTGACTGCTGCACTGCACCTTTACCCATTCTCCCTCCACACAACTGCTTACCAGCCCAAGCTCTCCTCCCCACCCCTGGCCCCTCACTTACCCACATCTCTTTCCTTGCCTTCTGACATTCCTGGCCCCAGACCTTCCATCTGCCCCTGCCTGCCCACAGCAACTTCCATCTGCCCCTGCCTGCCCACAGCACACGCTGCCTCTTCCCTGCAGAGGCTTAAACCTGGAAAACATTTTCCTGGACAGTGAGGAAAACATGAAGGTCCCTATCTCCAGATTTTCACCAGAAAAATGGTGAAACTGTACTGCAGGATTGGGGTCACCCCACATCAGGAGCTGCCCACCAAGGGAGCACTGAGCCAGAGCTCCTGCCAATCTTATGCTTATGCATATATCCGGCAGGAGAAGCCCTGTGACCCATTCCTAGCAAACACATGGAGTCCTGAGGTCATCTGCTGCACCCTGCTCTGGGGCTACAAGCCTTGTTATGCCACCAACCTGCAGCACCTGCTGTGCCAGACCCAGCAGTCCTGTCTTGCCACAAAGGTAGCCCCTGGCCTAGGACTGCAAGGTGGGGGGGCTGGGAGCAGCTTGGGGTGGTAGGGCATGTGGATTCTCCTGCCTTCAGGAAGGATGCATTCAGCATGGAAAGATGGCTCCATCTTCCATCTGAGCTCTTCATTATTTCCTCTACATGGTCCAGCTAGGAGACAGTTGGGTAAGCAGATGAAGAAGCTGCCTTTAGCAGCAGGTTGCAGTGTCTGCTCTGCCTCAATTCACTTCTTCTTGGCTTTTGTCCCCCTTTCAAATACCATCTCAGAGAAGATGGCTTTGCCCCTTTTCTGATTTCTCTGCTGCTTTGAATATCTTTATGCTCTCCAGAGACTTTTCTCACGGTGGTTTCCTAACCAGAACTTTCTCCTGGTCTTTCCAGGTCCCTTCAGTTATCTCCTGCTCAGGATTCTTTTGTCTTTTGGGAGCTCGTCCACAGCCACACACAGCTCTCATTCCTTCTCTTGAAAATGTTACTTGGAATTTGCTGTCCTTTGCTTTCCATCAGTCTTCCTCATCTCCAGATCAGGCTGGGAAATCCAGGTGCAGCTGCCTCTGAAGAATACAGGATGGGAAGGTGCTTCACACTGGTGTAGTCCAGCAGGCTATGTCCTTGCCCCATGGTCTCTCTCCAGACCTCTTTGGATCATTCCACACGTAAAGAAACTCTTTGGAACATGTCCTTGCCCATAGCAATAGTTTCTACTATTGCTCTGTTGTAATCCTTGTTCATGCCTTGAGCTAAGAAATCCCCAATTTTTTCCTAACCTTTACTCTGACTCAATTTTCCTGTTCTTCCTGTACACGTTTTGTAGAACTACATGAAGTTACTGGCTGGTAAGAAATCCTGTGTCAGCAAATTCCCTCAGCTGATTTGCATTGTTCAGATACAGAATTTGTTGACCACAGATGATGGAATTTCACCCTGGGTTCCTTGTAACAGCAGCAGAAATAAGGTTTATGGTAGACTATTGCCTCAACAATCTCTCAAGTCGACCAGAATTCCACCATGGGGGTTAACTTGGAATTCAGAATGGATTTTGTGCATTGATTTCTAGGGTGTGTGTGTGTGGTAATTTCAGAGGACAACTGACAGGAATTTTCTACTCTCTTTCAGTAGGTCAGAGGAGCAAGAACTGATCCCAAATGGAAGAACCTCTTCATAATGGTGGGATGACTCACACAACTGGAGTGCTGCAAGGGGTGCCTATAAACTCTTCAGCCTGGAGAAAAGGAGACTTGGGGGAGATTTTGCTGATCTCTACATATTCTTAAAAGAAGGTTGTGGTGAGGTGGGGGTTGGCCTCTTCTCCCAGGTCGCAAGTGATAGGACAAGAAGAAAGAGCCTCAAGTGCCATTTTCCCAGGGGAGGTTTAGAGTAGGAAAAATTCATCACTGAAAGGGTCAGGCTCTGGAATGGGCTGCCTGTGTGGAGTCACTATCCTGGAAGTGTTCACAGAATGTCTAAACGTGGCATCTGGGGGCACAGTTTAGTGGTGAACACGGCAGTGCTGAGCTAACAGTTGAACTCAGTGTTCCTGAGGGTCTTTTCCTTAACCTTAACGATTGTATGGGTCTACAATTCAATATTCTATGTACCAGCAGTACAGGGGACATTACACTAAAAAAATAATAATAATAATAAAAAATTAAAAAGATGTGGTGATTCCTGAATCTTAAATATCTGCTATGATGGGAGAGACCAAGCAAGCACCTTTCTATACACCTATGTAGTTAAGGAAGGGAAGCATTTCGAAATGCTGAGATTAGCTTAAGGCTTCCACAAGAAAGTACTTCTTTTTAGCACAGAGGAAAAGCCAACTGGTATTAAGACCCACCCTACAAAGACTGACTTGCAAGTAATTTTCCTTAGTTGTCCTCAGTAGTAAACTTCACTCTGAGGCATTTCAGAGGATTTATGACAGCTGAGTCTATCCCCCTTGTTTCAAAGCCTGTGGAGCAGCCTGTAATTCCTTCCCCATAGCACTACAATGCCACTCCCAAGCCCCATACAGCCTTGGCAGAGCCTGCTTTTGGAGTGACCACCACTCATGATGTTGTCACCAGACAAAGCTCCAACAATACTCAACTGCAGAACTCAGTCTTCCTGCTCAGACGTAGAAAATGAAACAAAATCAAATGGACAAGGACACGCTCCTTTGCTGTTCAAAGCATGCAAAAGTATAACCAGTCTTTCCAAAAGCCTGACTGAAAATTTTCGCAATTATGATCTGATCAAGAGAAAACTTCTGAAAATCTCAAATGTTAGGAGAAGCTTGTAGAAACAAGATGAAACACTTATCAGTTCATTACACGTTACTTTCTGCTAGTTATCCATAACTGCTGGATAGTACAGGCTGGTATTTTAACAATTGCTTCCTCCTTTTTTGTCCAGTACATCCTGGGATTAATTAATTTATGTATTTCTCTGGAATCTCAGGTACAGGATGACTCGGCAACAATTCAGAAGAAATGCTTCTCATGCTACCTAGGTTGCACACCCACTTTGTCTCTTCTTATGGATCTGTGTCTTTCTTTGGCAGGTGGTCTCCGAGTTGGTGGCTGCAGATGCAATTCCCTGATGGAATTATGTTTTACCTGGTTGCAGCTGATTTTAGGACAACTGCCAAGTTTGCTTTATTAATTTCTTCCTCACTTCGTTTGGGAGTTCTACCAGGTGTCTTTGTGGCCCATAAATTCTGTGCCCACTATCAGCAGGTATCCTCTTTCCCGATCTTTATTAACCTCTCCCTAGGGCTGAGATCACTGAGGCACCTCAAGACCTAAACTTCATCAAGGAGATTGGTTTTTCTAACACGTGGAAAATAGCCTTTCTCGCTGGCTTAAAAGTATACGAAGATCAAAAAAAAAATCAAAGAACTTCCTTTCTTCAGAAAGATTTTACATATTCCACACTTTGTGACACCCACACAGAGCCAGGGAAGCTCTGTAACTTCCTTGCCTTGCCTGAGTGATGCCTCTTTAGGCATAAATCAAACGAGGACCTACTTTCCAATGTGCTATCATAACCCTTCTGTGCCATCAAAGAACTTCCTCCCTGTTCCCACTGCCGATGGGATCAGTAGCCTGGCTCTGTCTCTCCTCACATCCCTGAACCAGCCGTGCCGTATCTCCGTGCCGATGTGTGCACTGCCGCTCCGCCCCGCTCTCACAGCCCTTCCAGACCCCTGCGGACCAGGCCGGGGGGCTCCTTCATGGGCACACGGAG